AAAAAAAAAAAAAAAAAAAAAAAAAAATCAGATTCTTCACCAACCCAAATATTTATACATTTTAGTTTTGCTTCCTTAATAATGATGAGACTCTATTAGTAGCATTTTAAAAATAATGTATCATGACATTTCTTTTTAAAAAGAAATGAGGCCTGGCACAGTGGCTCATGCCTGTAATCCCAGCACTTTGGGAGGCTGAGGCACGCAGATCATCAGGAGGTCAGGAGTTCGATACCAGTCTGGTTAACATGGTGAAACTCCATTTCTACTAAAAATACAAAAAATTAGCCAGGCGTCATGGCGCCCACCTGCAATCCCAGCTACTGGGGAGGCTGAGGCAGGAGAATCGCTTGAACCCAGGAGGCAGAGGTTGCAGTGAGCCAAGATCTCGCCATTGCACTCCAACCTGGACAACAAGAACGAAACTCCGTCTTCATAAATAAATAGAAATAATTAAAGGTAAATAACAATAAAGCCCATCTTCCTTTAGATTTACTAGGGCAGTAAAAGTGTATTGGAATATGAGACTTTTTCACTTTGTACTCAGGGTTGTTTAATCAGGAAAAAAAAGTCCTCTTATTTATCCCTATACCAGATGTACTTTGAACCTATTGCAGTGATTCAAATACTAAAGAAAGTTCACCCACTGAATATTTTCCAAGGACCTAATTTGTTAACAAATTAGAAGCTGTCATCTCTGACTTTGTTCATCTGAGATAGAACTGAGGCACTGTTAACAGATCTATTGACTGTGTAAGTCCAAAGTCTTGGGTTGAATTCCCTGAAGAGTGAGTCACACGCATGTATTTACCACAATCTCTCATCCTCTCCATCTCTCCTAGTCCCAGTTAACCAGGGAAAATGACTCATCAAGTTTCTTTCCATTAACAAGAGAAGTTAACATTTTGCTCTAATTCATTACTTAGCTTTCAGAACAGTCAAACCAAACTTGGTAAACAAAAAGCAATCTTATATTACAGGCTAACACACCTAATGACATAAATTCATTTCTTTTTTCTATTTGGCTTACAATCTAAAATAAATTCCACCACCATGGTCAAAGTGACCAACGGGAAGAAATCTGCCCTGATTCAATGAATACAGAGTTATGTTAGTAGTGGAAATCTCATTTTTTTTTCCTGTGGGGTTGATGGCTTTTTTCTTGAAGATTACTGTGAGTGTCTCGTGTATTTTGGCCTCTCTTGTCATACAAACTTTTAAAAACTAGTTAAACTTTTGGGGCCGGGTACAGTGGCTCACACCTGTAATTCCAGCACTTTGGAAGGCTAAGGTGGGCGGAT